ACCGCGGAGGGGAGGGGAGGGGCGGGGGAGGGGTGTGAGTGGCTGGAACCTTGGAAATGGCAGACAAGGGACCCCCAGAGCACAGCCCAGTTCAACCCTTGGTGAAGATCCATCTTTAAGAGGCCGTTCTGGACCTGGTGATTGCCGAGTCCCCTGAGAAGAGGGACTCTTTCGTCACCCGTCCACTCCTTCTGGCTCCAGACCGAACTGGAGCACCCCCCTCCCTTTCCTGCTCAGGGCTGTGGTCATCCTTTTCCAAAGGCCAGATGCCCATCCCAGAGAGAGTCTTGTTTATTCATGACTTCCTCTCTGGAGAGAAGGCCCGTGCCCCTTTAATCTGACATTCTCTTCTTACCCCCCAAATGGCCCGAGATCTCCTGCGTTGTTTATAAGACCGGTAATTAAGTGCGACCTGTCGATGGCTGTTGTAGGCCTGGAGACCAAGATTTGGGTTGAGGGAACGGCGAGGCCCTGAGCTGCCTTTCCTGCTTACAGGACTGGGTGGCCAAGCAGCCATGCCTACCTGGGGGACTAGCTCCTCGTCCCCTGACCGCTTTGCCGTGTCTGCGGAGGCCGAGGACAAGGTGCGGGAGCAGCAGCCCCATGTGGAGCGCATCTTCCGCGTGGGGATGAGCGTCCTCCCGAAGGACTGTCCTGAGAACCCTCACATCTGGCTGCAGCTGGAGGGCCCCAAGGAGAACGCCAGCAGAGCCAAGGTGAACGCCCCTCCCTGACCCTTCCGGAAGCAATGATTCCCCCATCCAGAGTCAGGGGAGAGGAGGGGTCGGGGGAGGATCTCCACTACTTGATTGTCTCATTGGCAACCTCATTGATCCTGAGCTTTGAGAAACTCAACTTTGTATTTGTCTGGAGTCTTGGTTTCATTTCTGCTGTGATGACCCAGCTTCTCTGCCAGGGCTTGCAGACAAATGATTCAGTTCAAATCAGTTTGTGCTCTTTGGGAGAGCAGAGAAAATCCGGTTGGGCAAGGAGGCCCCATCAAGGAATTCACTGTAGGGTGGGAGGCCAGGCCTGGGTTCCTGTACAGCTCCACTGCCTGCCAGCCCTGTGACCTCAGTCTCAGTTTCCTTATCTATAAAATGTGAATAATAGTATCTACCTTACCGTGAATGAGATAAAGCATGTAGAGCATGAGTTCAGTAAAAGTTAGCATTGGTGATCATGATGGAAATATACAACACATATAAACACAAAAATTTAAAGAGGCAGCCTTGTAACCAATTAATGCTAATTGTATCTTTTTTCAAGATCAAATTAATAACTTTATTTTTTTAGTGTTTTCAATTTATTTAATTTAAAAATGGCAAGCAGCTAATTTAGTTTCTGGCTGTATATTATCATATGTTGTTCTTTTAAAAAGTTTTTATTAAAATTATTGGGGTGACATTAGTTAATAAGATTATATCAGTTTCAAGTGTACAGTTCAGTAATACATCATCCGTATATTGCACTGTGTTCACCACCCAAAGTCAAGTCTCTTTCTGTCAATCTCTTTCTGTCAACAAGTATTTGACCCCCTTTACCCTCTTCTACCTCCTCCCTTGCCCCTTCCCTTTGTTGTCTGTCTATGAGTTTTTTGGTTTTTCATTTATTGCTTTATGTTTTATATCCCACATGAGTGAAATCATATGCTGCTTGACTTTTTCTGTCTGACTTGTTTTGCTTAGCATGATATTTTCCATATCCATCTTTTTGGATATTTCATCTTTTCTTATGACTGAGTAGTATTCCATTGTATATATGTACCACATCTTTATCCAATCTTCCATTGAAGGACACTCAGGTTGTTTCCATGTCTTGGACACTGTGAATAACGCCTGGGTACTGGCAGAGGGACAGCGGCCTAGGTGGTGCCATCCCTCCTGTGCCTGAGCCCTCCTATAATTGTATCTTAAAGTGAATCAAGTTCTAAACAGGCTGTCAGCTGGAAAGGGAAATGAGTGAGATTCTTGATCCCATTTTAACTCCCAACTTTGTCAGGATCTGTGGGGGCTCCTTTGCTCTGCCCAGGCATCCTGGAGCTCACGGGAGAGCAATGAGCCTGAAGGGCCACTGGGCCACTTAGGATTCCAGCAGTCTCCTTTTTTCCTACCCCCTCTCCCTTTCCACCCTCAGGAGTACCTGAAGGGTCTCTGCAGCCCGGAGCTGCAGGATGAAATCCACTATCCACCCAAACTGCACTGCATCTTCCTGGGGGCCCAGGGCTTCTTCCTTGATTGCCTGGCCTGGAGCACATCAGCCCATCTGGTGCCTGGGGCACCTGGCTCGCTGATGGTCAGTGGCCTGACCGAAGCCTTCGTCATGGCTCAGAGCCGAGTGGAGGAGCTGGTGGAGCGGCTGAGCTGGGACTTTCGGCTAGGGCCGTCGCCTGGAGCCTCTCAGTGTGCCGGAGTACTGAGAGACTTCTGTGCCCTGCTGCAGCCCTGGGAGGATGCCCACAGAGAGGCCCTGCTACAGCTGCCTCTGGCCGTCCAGGAGGAACTGCTGAGCCTGGTGCAGGAGGCATCCAGGGGGCAGGGTCCCCAAGCGCTTTCCTCCTGGGACAGGGGGAGCCCAGGCCTGCTGGGTGCTCAGCACCAGGGAGTCAGAGCTCCCCTGAGTGAAGGCAGGGAGTCACTGGACACTGGACCTATGGGGTGGCGAGAGTCAAGGGGAGAGAAACATGCTATGGAGAAGGAGGGAGGGAAGCAGGGTGGTCCCAGGGAGATGGATTTGGGGTGGAAAGAGCTTCCTGGGGAAGAGGCCTGGGAGAGAGAGGTGGCCTTTAAGTCACAATTAGGGGGAGGAGAGGCAGGGCAGGCAGGGCTTCTGAAGGGAAAGACCCTGGGGAAGGAAGGGGTGCCTCAGGAAAGAGGACGGTTCTGTGTCCAGAATGAGCCTCCTGGTGCCCAGGGCCCCTGTCAGAGGGCAGGTCAGCCCCGGGGAGCCTCTCTCCTCCAGCGGCTCCACAATGGGGAGGCCTCACCTCCCAGAGTGCCTAGCCCCCCACCTGCACCTGAGCCCCCATGGCACTGTGGAGACCGAGGAGACAGGGGAGATAAGCAGCAGGCTGTGGCTCGAGGTCGAGGGTCTCCATGGAAAAGAGGCACCCGGGGGGGCAATTTGGTGACTGGCACACAGCGTTTCCAGGAGGCCCTACAGGACCCTTTCACCCTGTGCCTTGCAAATGTACCTGGCCAGCCAGACCTCCGCCATATTGTCATTGATGGCAGCAACGTGGCCATGGTGTGAGTACCCGGTGGGGCTGAGGGTCCTGGGGAGGGGAATGAGATGGGCAGTTTTGTTCACCTTGGGGACATATGCCGAGGGGCAAGCACTCCAGACAGGCTGCCAGGCCCTCCTCTGGGGCCCCAGAGTGCCGACCCCTTCTCACTGCAGGCACGGCCTCCAGCACTACTTCTCCAGCCGGGGCATTGCCATTGCTGTGCAGTACTTCTGGGACCGTGGCCACCGGGACATAACCGTCTTTGTGCCTCAGTGGCGCTTCAGTAAGGATGCCAAGGTCAGAGGTGAGTTGTGCCTGGTTTTCTGTGTCCTGGCGTAGGCCCTGCCTACACCTTGAGGATAACCACGTTGTGCTCCTCTTTTTCTCTAGAGGGTCACTTCCTGCAAAAGCTCTACTCTCTCAGTCTGCTCTCCCTCACTCCCTCCCGAGTCATGGATGGCAAGAGGATCTCTTCTTATGATGACAGGTACTTGTTTCTCTCCTGGACCCAGGCTCGATATTCAAGGAGCCCAGTGGGAGACCAAGGGAGAGACAGAAGCTCCTGACCTTTTACACTGTCTCTAAGCCTGGGTAGTGGACAAAGGGCCAGTTATTCCTCCGTGTGCCCATATGACTAGGTGGGTAAGTCTGCCCACAGGTGAGATGAGATGGATGTTAGACAACTGTGTTTGCCCATTCATCATTCATATTTTATTCATTAAACTAAATTATGTTTTGTATTTATATAGTGCCTTGCTGCCTAGAAAATATGGTTTAATGGAAAGATGGGAAAGCTGATGACATGAATAACCAGATGACAAATCCCTTCTTACAACCTAAATTTCCAAACATGTAGAGGAATTCCCTCAATATTTTGGAAAAACCAGAGTAAATGTTCAAAGCAACAAGCCAAATGAAGAAACAAAATCCATGCATAATAACATAAAAAAACTCATAAATAAAACATAATCTAAGAGATCACTGGACTTAGAATTCGATGATCTGAATTAGAGTCCCAAGTTACACTACTCATCGACTTTGACTATGGGCCAGTCTCTTAGTGAGTTAACCTCTTGTCTCAGGGTCCTCTTCCATTCATTCATGCTCCTCGTGAATATCAAAAGAAGATAAGGTATGTGCTTGCCTCACTCAAGGTACTAGGCAAGAGTACAGTGATATTCCTTAACTGTTCATGGACCCAAGCAAGTGTGGCAGAGGGTCTTATCTCTATGGTACAGAAATGGAGCAGAGGCTAAGAGTAGTTAACTGTCTTGGTGAAGGCTACCAAGTGGCAAAGGAAAAATGAGAAATTAAAGCTTCCAGATGGTTTATATGAAAAACAGGGCATAGTCCCTCAGTGTATGCACACTGTGTGGGAAATGGGCAGATTTTAAAAGCGAATCAAACATTTCTACAACTACTAGTTCTTTATTTTCTAGGACTTTCAGTTTTAAATAAAAAACTAGTTTCTAAACCATAGTGATTATATATTTTGTCTTCTCAAATACTTAACTTTTGCTCCTTAATAAGTAAATGGTATTCTGCAAAAAGGTAGTTCACTTTCTTCCTGTGCTATTGTTTTATGTCTAGATTTCACAGATTATCCAAGATATGGAACCTTCTTTCCACACCAGCATTGACACAGAATTGAAAGTGAAGACTGAGTCAGTTGTAATGAATTTTAAAGGCACGTGTCTGTACAGTTCTATAGGTCTTGGTAGGCAGACAGTACAATAGGAGTTTGGAATTTTGCCTAGTTACAGTGACAAACAAGTGGTGCACAGCACAGGCCTACTGCATGCATACTGCTGAACAACATATGTAACATAATGATAAAGTATACTTAACCTGAAAATACCTTTTGTATATCATATGATACCATGTACAATTGTATGTCCTTCATTTGTTTCCCGGACAGAAACTCTGAACCAGACATCTCACATACCCAGTCCCGATTACTAGTGCCCTCTTATACCACACTGCCTTTCAAATACTGACTGCCCACTTAGGTGCATGGCCTGAAGGAGGTGGGATTGCTGGGAATTTGACTTTAAGGAGCCAAAAGAAACTATAAATCAAACATTACAGGAACTCAGAGGAAAGGGAGCTTTCCTCTGGCTGTGGTTTTGTGGGAAGGGAGAGATTTGTGAGTTTTGATAGAGAAGGACATAGGATGGGCTGGATCTCTTGGTTTCTAAACCTGTTGAAAAAGACCCCCACATACTTCTTCATGAGTCCTACCACAGTTCTATGGAATCAGTATTACTCAAGTAGGGCCCAGGCATCTCTTTTTTAAAAGTTCCCCTGGTGATTCTGTTGATCAGTGAGGTTTAGGAAATACCTTCCAGATGGAGGGAAGATTTTGAGAAACATGGAAGTCAGAGAACACAGGGCATGTTTGGAGAACAGGATGTAATCGGTTCATTGATTCTGGCACAAGTTGAGAGTACCAGGAGAGATAAGGCCATAGGAGTGGCTGGAGTTGTGTTCTAGAGGGGCTTAGCTGCCATGCCAGGCCTGGGCATGTGGACTTTATTCGGTAGATAAAGGGCAAGTGTGGAAAGGTTTGGGTAGGGGAAGATCATGTTCTCTTGGGGGAAAGCAGGAGAGACTGAGAGTGGTAAGTGGCAGGGGGTGGGGAATCCTCTTATCAGGAAGCTATGATCATTTGCAATGTCCGAATAGCTAAGAGTGGCAGACTTTGCAGAGGAATAATGTGGTGGATTTGTGACTGTTGGGATAGGGTGGAAGAAGACAGAGCCCTGGCTAGATCTTACTCTCTCACTAACGAGGCACAAAGTGTTGAGTGGAGGATTGTGGTGAGTGGAGGGGTTGTTTTTCAGGTTCTATGTTGGATTCATCTTTGTTTCCTCTCTAATCCACGGCATCTGTATCCAGTCAGTCCCCTGGTGTGCGTGTGGGTGGGAAGATCTCTATCACCAGAAGTGGGTCATGGGAGTCGATAGCACTTTTTGGGGTTGGAGCTGTTGAGAATCCTAGAATATTGCTGTGGTTTTTGAGACAGGTTCATGGTGAAGCTGGCCGAAGAGACTGATGGGATCATTGTTTCCAACGACCAGTTCCGGGACCTGGCGGAGGAGTCCGAGAAGTGGATGGCAATCATCAGAGAGCGGTGAGAGGGCCTCCCCTGAGAAAAGGGCTCAGACTCAGACCTTTCTCTAAAACCAGTTCTGCTCTGCCACCGGGTGAGGACTCTGTGAAGGGGCTTGACATTGGCTTGAAGGATGGTAGCTGACAGCTTTTGTTGGAGTTGGTCTCAGCTGTCTGGGAGGTGGGCAGGGGCCCCTCTGTGACCATACATTCTCTGTCCCCATTCAGCCTTCTGCCCTTCACCTTTGTGGGAAACCTCTTCATGGTCCCTGATGACCCACTGGGGCGAAATGGCCCCATGCTGGATGAGTTCTTGAAGAAGCCAGTCAGGTAATACCCCAGACTCGTAGGCAGCCCCCCAGCCCTGGCCCCCTCTCTGCAGGGGCCTTGCAAGCCTGTAGACTTGGGGAAAGTGTGACTTCCATCTGGGCCACCTTAATTCTGTACTGGATTAGGTTGCCTTGGCTTGGCCTTTAACTACTTCCCTGGAAATCCAGACGTGGACCCTCCAGGCCAGGAAGGAAGCACCTGCTTCCTGTTTCCCCTAATCAGTGTGTTTGTTGGAATTTTTTGGAACATGGTTGCTTTACTTATAGCCACTTGTATTGAGCACGCCCTCTGCTGGACCATTAAGTGATTAATTTATTAGACTTGATCATTAGTGGCTGGGTTCACCTTCCTGGTTTCAAAGAAACTGTCTCTCTCGCCTTCAGAAGTGGGTTGATACTGCCACTCAGTGGTCAGCTTGGGGAACTTCGGAGCCAGGAATAGGCAGGGCCGTTAACGGCAGGGGAGCGCTGGGAGGCCCACTGAGCTCTAACTTCTCTCCAGGATGCGCACCAGCTCTTCTGTTCTCGCTGCTTCTTCCCAGGGCACAGGCATCTTCTAAGGCTCAGCATCCTTCCAGGGGCTTGGTAGAGCACGGTAACCAGCAGCAGGGGAGAGAAGAGGAGGAAAAAGGCAGTAGTGGCATTCGGAAGACCCGGGAGACGGAGCGGCTCCGGCGCCAGCTGCTGGAGGTGTTTTGGGGTCAGGATCACAAGGTGGACTTCATTCTGCAGCGGGAGCCTTACTGCCGGGACATCAACCAGCTCTCTGAGGCCCTGCTCAGTCTCAACTTTTAAGCCTCACCTGCCTGAGTGGCTGCCACCCTGTCAGCTCTGGCCTCGCTCAGCTCAGCCCCTTCTGTGAGGGTCCCTGTGCTGCTCAGACCCTGACCCAGACCCACTCTGAGTTAGTGCGTTGGGTCAAGGGAGCACTGAGGAAGAGCATTTGAGTGTGAGAAATGTTCCTGCCTGAGGCACTTTGGGACAGGTCCATCAAGTGACCTGATCTCCTCTTGAGTCAGGACCTCAACCAGCTCTCAAGAGGTTCTGCTCGGTTTTAATTTCTCAACCTTGCCTTAGCACAGGGTTTCTGTAGGGAGTGGAGGCTGGACATTGGGACTGCTGGCTTGTCCTCGAAGCTGAGTGGTGGATGGAGGCTAAGGTGAGCAGGAGGGGAATGAAGAACGATGGTAAGAAAGCTGAGCATTTCCTACCTTGGCTGCTGTTCTAAATGGTCAGAGGACAGGAGGCTTTCCAGGCCTGTCTGGGCTCCTGAGAGCCTTGAAGGGAATGCTGGGCCCTGGAAAGGCAAGTGTGATTGGGGTCTGGGTCACAGTGCGGCAGCAGGGAGCTGGTGGGGAAGGCAGAGGGAGACTTGGCTTCTGGTCTCAGCTGTGCCTGTCTTTGACCTTGATTGAGCTGCTTGGCTTTTACTTCTGCCTATAAATCAGATGTAAAAATACCAGTTGGGAAGAGGAATGAGAACATGGAGGAGGGCTCCTTGGAGGAAAGGTACTTGGACCAAGTCTCAGGTGTGTGTCTGGCTACACAGGCTTCTGAACCAAAACCTCACTTTTCAGAGAACCGAGAGTCCTCTGTCCCCAGGGCCTGTGCCCTACAGGCCCTAGATTTTAACACTGCACCCTCATTATGATGTGCCCTATAATGGCTGCATCCCTTTTGGGCAACCCCCAAATCCACATTTATAAAACAGTAAGGGGACTGTTTGCATTACCAAAATACTCTCAGGGTTCCTCTAAATGGCAGCTCTCCTGTTGCATTCAAGTGTTTGTTTACAGATTCAGTAACGTGTCAGAAAGTCCTTGGTTCAATGCACTTGCTGAGGTGTTACGCATTCACCAAACCGATGAAGCCATGTTCTGCAATGACAATGACAATGTGACCTGACCCCAGCATTTTCTCTACAGAACACGTGTTGCATAAAGCGAGGTCCACTTCTGCTTCGTGTGTGTGTGTGTATGGGGATGGGGGCGGGGGGTGGTTTATAGAGATTGTTATCTAGATGAACTGCTTAATTTGGGAAATGAAAACCGAAGAATCAGACCAACTGCTGTTCCATCAGGACATTCTCTCCAACCTGATTTCTACAGGTCATCCTGTATCTGCTTGACGTCCTCCCGTGCCAGGGAACTTACTACCTCCAAGGTAGCCCGTCCCCTCCATGGACAGTATTAGCACTTTCCTTTACTGTAGCCCCCAATATGCTCTTCTGCCTTTGAGGCTGGTCACTCCCCCAGGAACAATACAGGGCCAGTCAACTGCCTAGAGTCCAAGACCAGATGAAGAAGGCGGACAGCTGCTGCAGTGTTCTATGCTGTCTGGGCCCCGTAGCAAGTTCCTGGACATGATTCTTTTCAGGCTCTGGCTGCTGTTCCCTGAGCAGCACTGGTGTGTCTTGTCTACCTACTGCCACTCTAGTTCATTCGAGCAATTAGTGTGGGAGCTGAGTGATGATGGAGAGAGTCCCTGTGTCCTGGTGTCTTCGTTCTTCCCTGTTAGTGATGTATACCACTAGACCATATCGACTTGGGCTGGGGGCAGGTGTGTTGGAAACAAGATAGTCAGAGAGATGACAATGACTCAAAGTCCCCTTGGAAGAAAGATTGGTTAGTGAGGCCTGATTGAGGGCTAGGGGAACTACTGGTCAATTTGTAGCAGATACCAGGGTAGATAAAAAGGGAGAAGGTCCTAGATGAACACTTGGGACTTTTTTTCCTAATAAGGTTAAATTTGTAGTTTTTGATATGTTCCTTGCCCCTTTCACTTTCAGTGATGGTGGGTGTGCAGTGGGCCAGAGATATCTTCTGTCCTTTTATGCTGAGAACCCTGGTTGACTGAAGTGGCCTCAATCAGATGAGAGGCAAGTCCTAAGCTACTTACAGATAGGGATGTTGGCTTTGTCCCTTGAACTGGGGCCAGCATATTGTTGCTTTATTAATTCACTGCCATTTGGTGATAGGCTGAATGCTGTCCTAGACTCGGCCCTCATTTCTTCCTCTGCTGGCATCTTAATGGTACCGTGTGAACAAGTATGCAAGGTGACCACAGAACCCATTGGAAATAGGTCATCACTTCTCTTGTCTAGTCTCTACCTTTATCATAACCTCATGCCCTGAATTTGTTACCAGCTCTTTTGGCAATGGAAGGACCAAGAAGGGAGATGTTGCCCATTATAACTTTCAAAACCCCATATAGAAGAAACAGTCAGCTTAGGGTGACATTCCTTGAAATAAATTCCAGGAGAATCTAGGCCAAAGAGATGAGTTGAAGCTATTGAGATAATTTATTGCCTAATTTAGAGCAACTACTACACAGGAAAAAGGAGAAAGGAGACAGAAACGGGACATGTAGGGGAACTGAACTTGCAAATTCTTTTATAAGGACTTGAATAGGTTAAGGGTCAAACTTGATGAGACGGCAATGTTTAAATGAGACAGTCAGTTAAATAAGGCGGAACAACAGAACGATGAGAAAGGATAGGGAGAGGAATCCCTAAGAACCAGACAGTTTTATGTCTCAAGTGGAGGAGTACCTGAGCCTATTCAGTCTAACTGGGAAGCCTCTGATGAGGGACAGGCCTTGGCCCTGCCATGACCCTCCCCACTTAGGCTATGACTTCCTTCAAGGCAGCCCCCAGCTCTGGGAAGGAATACTGGTAGCCAGCAGCCAATGTCCGTCGTGGGACCACTTTCTGGCCCTCCAGCAGCATGATGGCACGTTCTTGCCCAAAGACAGCTTGCACAATGGTGCTGGGTAGAGGGATGAAGGCTGGGCGGCCCAGGGCTGCACCCAAGGCTTTAGCAAACTCAGCATTTGTAGGGGTGGAGGCTGGAGCCACTCCATTCAGGATCCCCTGCACGTGGCTTGCTTCAAGGGCATGGGCCAAGATTCCCACCAGGTCCCGGATGTGAATCCAGGGTAAGAATTGGTGGCCTGAGCCGATGGGGCCCCCCAGGCCCAGGCGGAAGGGCAGCAGCATGTGACCAATGGCACCGCCCCCACGGCCCAGCACAATCCCTAGAGCAGGCAAGAAGGATGGTACTGGGAGGTCCCTCAGTCTCCAAGCAGTCCCACTGTTCTTCCCCATTATCCCTTACTGGCTCTTTCCCCATGCTGGCTTAGCTCTGTAGCAGTTCCGGGGTGTGGTTTTCTTTGGGACATCCCACCCTCCCATCTGCAGGTTGTAAGCTCAGCTTACAACCTCTCTCTGTAAGCTCAGCTCCCCTTATCATCCCACTCTCCCAGACGAGAGAAGACATTCCAACCCTGCTTGATACACAGGCCCCTGGTTCTTACCAGAGCGTACCACCACCTGGCGTGTAGAATCTCCAGGAAGCTTGGCTGCAGCTTCCCATTTGGTTACGAGGTTGGCGAAAAAGTCGAAATCCCCTCCTGGGCTGTCCTCGTCATACTCAGCAGTCAGGCTGGGCTGGTAGTAACCTGCAGGTAGAATAACACTCATGTGCCTTGGCTGTCCTTGGTCCTGACTGGTCCTTTGCAGTCAAGGGCCCTCTTGGCTTAACCCTCCTTGGCTCTTGGGATCTCTCTGTGGAAAACAGCTGTGGGTATTTTCCTCTTGAGCCCCATGAGCTGACCTGTTATGGCCTTGGAATAACTCTTTAGCTGCATGGTTAAGCTGAGAGGTTGATAGAATATAGTGGTTAAGAATAAAGATGTGGGTGGCAGGTAGAGTGAGTTTTAATATCGGCTCCACCATTTATTAATCATGACTTTAAGCAAGTTATATTAACTCTGTGCAGAATTTTTGCATCTTTAAAATGGGGCTTATACCTACCTCACAGAGTTCTTATGAGGATTAAGTACTGTAATATGTGTAAAACAATCAGTAGCTGGCATATATGCCAAAATTATTTGCAATTATTTGGTCCCAAAAGTGAAATATAAGAATCAGAAATTCCGTTCCTAAAGAATGGTGCTGTGAGAAGCAAGGGACTTGGGACAAGGTGGAATTTCTCCTGGTACTAGGGGAGCAGTGCCAATACCCCTTTTCTCTTAGGGTCCCAGTTTCTCAAAGTACACAAACGTCAGGAGAAACACGTGTGAATCAAGGGCCTAAGAAGAAGACCAGCACTCTGCACATGTATAGCTAGAAAGGCCTGAGGTACACCCTCAGGGTGTACTCCCTTTCCCTGGCTAATGTAAGGGGTTGGTGATTTGGGGCATACCTACGCCTGTGACTAACACCCAGGCCTGGGGGCGGGGTTGTGGGGCCTCCGTGATGGCTCTAGCCAGCATGCGGGTGGTCTCCAAACGGCTGCTGACAACCTCTTTTTGGAAGGTTTCATTCCACCTGCATGAGAAACAGGTGAAATAAGCTATTAAATATATACATACACATATCTCTTCTTCTCCCTTTCCCGGGGGCCTGTCCATATCCATTTCTAGTAAAATGTGTGGCTCTCCTGTAGAGGGACAAGGCATATCCTTTTGGGGCATCCTGAGTTATAAGTGAGGAGGAACCATCAACTGAGTGGGGTAGAAGGGAGGGTGGGCGTTGAGGAGCGGGCGGGATGAGTAATCCGGGAAATGGGTTTAGTTTTCGATCTGTCAGCTCCATTCTTCTTATCTCAGAGCCATTTCCTCTCCTGCCTCTGCTCTGAAGGATATTAGTTTTAGGGCCCAGACTGACCTTCGGAGAGGGTTGAGGATGTTCTCTCCCGCCAGGTTGACGACGGCATCGCAGCGGGGCAGCCCCAAGGTAGCGAGCTCATCCTGTCAGAGAAAGTACACAGTGCCCGCCTGGCCTTACGTGGTCAAACCAGGCCTTCCCCCACCAGCTTCCTGAGGGCGGCCATACCCAAGTGATCCGACTTGGTCCGGGCTTTCTGGAGACCAACGTCACTTCGTGGCCTCTGGCTTTCAGGAACTGGGTTAGGGCTGTCCCAATGAAGCCCGTTCCGCCACCTGACAGGAAAATACCAGGTGTTCATTTTCCCTGGGGGCGCCTTCAGTCCCCTCTTTGTGGCGCCCCTCTTCTGAAGCTATCTCATCTGACCTCAAAACTTCTCTTTCTTGCCCTCTCCGGGTGATGCACAAGAGACACAGGTCACATAGTTTAGGGAGATTCGGCTTCTCGGGTTAGGAGTCCAAAGCCAGGTTGCCTGTGCACAAGACAGTGCCCCCATCCCTCGCGGGCCACCCAGTCCTCAGTCTCTGGCTCAATATTTCTTTCAACCCGCACCCCCACCCATTCTCCCCTTGGGCCCTCACCCACAAGCACCCGCATGGCAATCAGGACCTAATGCGCCTGCGCGAGATTTAGAGGTCCACCCCCTCCCGCCCAAGCAACTACAACCGTTCAGGCCTGCGCCTTTCGGGAAGTGCGCTCCAATTGGGGGGCCGACAGGATTGAGGCTGGGCGTGGCCCTATCTGGCGACCCGGAAGAATTCATAAAAAAAGCGGTATGTATACGTATTTCATCGCGAGGCTTGGCTGGGGGTGGGGGGTGGCGGGAGAGAGAGTGAGAAAGAGAGAGAGAGAGAGAGTGTGTCGGGGTGTTGTGGGAGGAGGTATTGTGGGGCGGGGGGACGGGGACTGGGGAGAGATTGGGATGAGGCTCCAGGGAGGGGAGTAGGGGTGGCTGGCGGAGTAGACCCAGGGGCCGGGAAAGAAGGGGCTTAGAGAAGGCTTTAGTGTAGAAACACACCTAAAACCAGCAGCTTTTCAGACTCCCGAATTCTGGAGGTATATTCAGCTCGATGGGTCAGTAAATCAAAAAAATCCGTCCACTGGTACTATGGATTTCTTTTTCCCTCGCCTGCTTGTTTTTTTTTTCCTTCCTGTTCCGGTCCCTTCCTATCAGCATTTAAACATTCTAAAATTTCCCTCGTCTTAAAATAACTCTTTTCCAGCCCACTTTTTCCTCTGCTACTGTCCTCTATCTTCTGAAAAAAGTGGTGTCCATTTCCCAATTCACTTAGGTCGGCTCTGCCTTCATCATTCACTATTTTTCGCCAAGATCCAGTTTCCCGTGTGTCACCAAAACGCATGCCTATTTTTCATTTTTTTGAGCTCTGTATCCTTGGACACTTGCTGACTCTTCCCTCCCTTTGTAAATGCTCATCTCTTGGCCTCAGTGAAAGCCACTCTCTCCTCTGGGTTTTTCTCCTAGCCTTTCACAGTCTCTGTTGCTCGCTCCGCCTCCTCTAAGGTATTAGATTGTTGGTGTTCGTCAAAGCTGGGTCCCAAGACCTTCATCTCTTCCTGCTTCACTTTCTCCCAATCACCCACGTCAGCAAATTAAGTTACCAGTTTTTTAAAGACTTCCTAAATCTCCTGGGCAACTTGAATCTCTCCTCTGAGCTCGTGGCTCCTATAAAAATATTCCACTATTTGTCTGTTCTTGAATGTCTGAAACCTTGTTTTTACTTACTAAATATCGTCTAGTTCTATCTTTTTCTTTCTATCTCTGCCACCACCACTCTCCTAGCTATTATCTAAATTCTTGTCTAAATTTCAGCAGTAGTTTTCTAATAGGTTTTCCTGCTTCTGATTGTCTCCCCTTTCCAAATTGTTTTCACATATTGCAAGCTGAATGATCTCTTAAGAACATGTGGAAGGAACACTACGGTGGCCTATATATTCTAATAAAACTCCTATTGCAAAGTTTCTGGATATGCTGTATAAAATTTAACACATCTTCACTTAAATGCATTGCCAAGTTAGCTAGAAAATAAAGGAAATCTCCAGAGACTGAAAACAAAGTGTGCCTTGGGACTAAGGTTACTTCGTGGTTGTTTGTCAGTCTCAGTAACCTAGAGCCCTGGGTGACAAGAGTTGATGCCCGGGACCTAAGCAAGATTGGGACTGAGAAGCCTGCAGAAAGTCTTTGATGGGCTATGTCATCAGGGAAAAAGTGAACTTAAAAAAGCCCAGTTAGTATCAAAGAACATGACTAGGAAACCTGTTTCTATAGGCTTGGTTCTTAGCTAGGATTGATTGTAAAAAAAACCCACTTTTCTGATTTTTTTTGTGTATATCATCTTGCCCATATGAAGTTTTGGAGTTGAATTCATTGTTACCTGCTTGGTCTAGGAAGCCCTAAGCCAAGAATTTAAGTTAAGTGATCCAGATAGGAGCAAGCATAAATTCTCCCTAGGTTTCACAGGATCCCAAAAGATAAAATCCTACCAAGCATGAGTACATAATCCAAAATTGCAAAACACACAAGGAAACAAGCCACTCTGAGGAGGAGTCAGAAACAATATGCAGCAGTGTGTGACCAAAAAATTTCAGGTATTAAAATTATGAGATATAGAATATAAAACTACCAACTCTAAAATATTTAAAGGAGGAGGCACTAAAAACATGAAAAAGAGACAAGATACTATCAAATTCCAGCAGAATTGATAACCAATTTGAACTCCTAAAAATTTAAAATATAATGACTGAATTTAAAAATTCATTGAGTTTAAGCAGCAGAAAATAGATTTATTATTGGTTAAGAGAGGATTAACTAGATGTGAAGAAATTTCCCAGAATGCAGCACAGAGGAAGAGAGGTAGAAAATATGAAAGATGGTAGAAGACGAAGAAGATAAAGTGGGAGATTTCTGTTTGGCATCCCTAGAAGAGACAGAGAAGGGGACAGAAAATGTTTGAAGAGATAATAGCTGATTATTTTCCCAAATTAATGAAAGATAGGAATACTCAGATTCAGTAAGCAAAGTAAATCTCAAGTAGAATAAATAAAAAATCTATATTTAGCCATATAATAAAACTAAAAACAATGATAAAGAAGAGATATTAAAGCAGACACTGTGTTCCCTAGGGCACCAAGGAGCACTTGGATTGTCTTCTGGCAATAGCATGGAATTCGTGGGCCATGGTTAGTCTCCCCTCATATTCCTCTCTTGCTTATCTGCCACAGTCCTTACTGCCCAGGCACCTTGCTGCAATCTAGCTCTGTTAATTATATGTTGCTATTAACAAATTATCTCAAAACTTAGTGGACTGAAACAACAATATTTCTTATACGATTTCTGTGGGTTAGGAATCTGGAAGCAGCTTAGGTGGTTATGGCTCATGGTCCCTCATGAGGTCAAGATTACAGTTAGGACTGCAGTCATCTGAAGATTTGGAGAATCTTTTGCCAAGATGGCTCGCTCACATGGCTGTTGGTAGGGGACCTCATTCCTTGCTGGTTGTTGGTAGAAAACCTCAATTTCTTGCCATGCGGAACTCTTCATAGGGCTCCTTGAGTGTCCTTATGACATGGCAGCTGGCTTCCTTGGAGTGAGTGATCTAAGAAAGTGAGAATGAGGAGGAAGCCTTAATGCTCTTAATGACCAACCCAGTCTCAGAAGTTACATAGAGTCACTTTTACTATAACCTATTTGTTAGAGTGACTCACTAAGTCCAAGGGGAGGGGAATTTGGTTCTAACTTTTGAAGGGAGGAGTGTAAAAGAATTTGTGGACATATTTTAAAAACACTACAAGCTCTGTTGGCAATTATGGCTTCTCTGAGAAACTTCAGTCTGTTGACTATGCCTGGGAATTGTGGCACAGTCCTGCTATTTTCAGATACCCCTTCAGCTTCTCTGGGTTGAACAATAATCCCTACCTCCCTAGCTGGGTTCCTTCTCATAGAACACAGACAGCATTTATAATCTAGTTTTGTTCTTTCCAGATCTCTTTTAACTCTTCCCCCAAGCCCAGGAGATGCTGTATGATGGGCACCTGCTCTGATGTTATAGCCTATTTTTTCTTACTTCTCGATTATAGAATAGATTCTGTGCTCAGAATTTCAAGATCCATCTTGTTGGATCACTTAAATACTTTCTTATCTTAACAAAATCTTGCTCTTGCAAGTGAATCTCCTACTTTCCAAGCTATTATTTAGATATAGAATAAAAGAACTTTATTTTGAGATTCAAAGCTAAGGCTTGTCTAATTTTTCCTTTATACTGCAGAGAAAAGGAAGGGAGGCTGGTAGAGAGAGCAGGCTCTGCCCAAATGTACTCAGCTTCCCCTCAAATGCCTTAAAGCCTTTCTTCTACTGGGTTCTTGGAGGGGGTGGGTCAACTTCTTCCTCTTCAACCTCTCCTTTAACAGTTGAACTAGTTAAACTATTTGTAGCTCTCACAGTCCATCTGACACTTTAGCAGTTAAAACATTCCAATCTGAGCCAGACAATAAGACATGAGAAATTTCTGTCCACGCATCTGGGTGTAGAGGCAGGTGTAGCTGGTTTGCCCTTCAGGAAGTAAAGGGTCCTTCCTGAGTCTGCAGCAATTGCAAAGATTTCATTCATTGAAATGGGACTGTTGCCCCACAGCTGCTTCCTGATACAGTAAAATGGCTGAACACAGTCCATCTGGCTGGTCAGGCCATCATCGCTGGGCAGTTCAGGAAGCCAGGACTCTGGGAGGGATCCTAGCTCTCACCTTAGCATGGACTGATGCAGGGCAGGATGCAGAGTTTGCTGGTGACAGGAGCCTCTGCCCTTCCCCCATGCTACCTCTAACTGTGTGAATGCCCCATGCTTCATTTTGTTTGGGCAGATTTTTGTAACTTCTCTCAGGTTCTGAAATGTTACTTGCCAAATACTATGCACAGTATCATTTCACATGGTTTCTGATTCAAATGTGGTAGAACCCACCAACGAACCAACCAGAATCCTAATATGGAGACACAACAGATAAAGGTTCCTAGAACCCCCTGCCATTCCTTTTTAAGATAGTTTCCTCCAACCCTGGGGAACATTGCAATAAAAGCAATGTTCCCTGAGCTTTGCCCTCTGTGGAGATACCAGCTCTTGTCCTGGGGCCACACCTTCTCTTCTTTCTGCTCTGTGAAGACTTCTAGATGCCACCCTCTCCAATCAGACCCCTATCCAGACATCTATTCCCAGTAGGGCCTTACTCAGGAGTTGATACTTTCTCACCTCCAGCATCCGTCCCATTTTTTTCTGTTCTTGAGGGAGATAGAGAGAGAGAGATAGAAAGGCGGGAGAAGCGAGAGAGAGAGAGAGAGAGAGAGAGAGAGAGAGCGAGAGAGAGAGAGAGAGAGCGAGAGAGATGGATTTGAAGATGCAGCAGTTGCTGCCTTTGAAGAGAGAGAGAGACAGAGAGAGAGACAGAGAGAGAGACAGAGAGACAGAGAGATTGATTGATTAGTCTTTGATCAGGCTGAAGAGGAATGTTCAGCTTGAGCGGCTCTTTTTGCACCACCAGAGGCCTCACTAGCCCAGAAATTCCATTTCCTATCCACTCAACAGGAGAGCTGCAGGCTGCAGATGGTTGTCAGTGTTCTGGCTCTGGGCTGTAAAAATGGCCACCAGGAGGCTTTTCCTGGGTTCATTTTTCCCCTGGCCAACGGTGTAGCAAATAGATGCAGGAAAAGCCAAGTCAAGCTAGGTCAGAGAAATGGTTTTATTTCATTGCTGGGTCATGAATGATTA